GGGGGGGGGGGGGGGGGGGGGGGGGGGGGGGGGTAAAGGCAATTAATGGTGTTCCTAAAGAGTTAATGGTTAATTAAGGTCCCCTTGTGTGCAGCCTCAAGCACTGACAGCCCCCCCACACTGTTGTTCCCCACTCCCCCCCCCCTCAAGAAAAGAAAAACAACACTTTTTCCACTTTTTTCCCTCCCAAATCACCTCGTTGAGGCTTTACGATGATTAATTGGTTATTTCTTAATGAGCTGTGTGCAATTATCCCACTTTTGGGTGGGGGGGGGAGGGTTGAGGACGACCCCATGTGATGCAGTAACAAAATGTTGACCTTTTTCCCCCCTTTTCGCCCCAAATTGAATCCCAAGATCTCTTCAGGTGAGGAGCTGGCATGGAAAATAGCTGAAAGAGCCAATTTTGCCCCAAAAAACTGCAAGTATTGAGCACTGAAATGATGTGTTTGTCACAGTAAGCAAAGCACGCAGTTCTGCCCCAAAATGTGACTGCAATACAAAACACTGCTGTGAGGTGGCCTGGAAAAAAAAAAAAAGGCCAAAAAGAGGAAAAAGTGGTTTGAAAATTGTGGTGAAAGGGGGAAAAAAAAGTGAAAAAAGTGTCCCAAAAGTGACAAAAATAACAACAACAAAAAAAGGACAGAAAGGTCCGAAAAAAGGGACAAAAAAGGTCCTTGTGAAAGTGAGAAAAATGCCCAAAAAGTGACAAAAAAGGGGAAAAAGTGGCAAAAAGGAAAAAAAAGTCCCAAAAAGTGGCCAAAAAAGGGGTAAAAAAGGAGAAATTGGGAAAGGGTCAAAAAGTGACAAAAATATGCAAAAGAAAAAGTGACCAAAAAGACACAAAAATGTCCAGAAAAAAAGTGAGAAAAAGGGGGGGAAAAAGTGACAAAAAGGCCCAAAGTGTCCAAAAGTGATGAAAGTGCCCCAAAAAATGGAACAAAATGTCCAGAAGTAAGAAAAAGGCCAAAAAAAGTGACAAAAAGTGACCAAAATGGCCAAAAAAAGTGACGAAAAGTCCAAGAAAAAAAAAAAGTGAAAAAAATGTCAAAAAAAAAAG